AGCATATTTTTGGGTGTTGACTTTGACAGAGTCAAAATTGAATTAATTGATATGTAATTAAAATTAGTCTCATATTCAATCAATATTATTGAATATAAATATTTATTTCAATAAATCATTTTACAAAAGTTCACATCTTTGACTTTTTCTCATTTTTATACAAATTACATATTTAAAATGTCATAACTGAACCTCTGTACATCAGATTTATTCATAAAATATACCGTTGGATTCGTCTCTTCGAGACCTATCCATAAAAGTCAATCTTAACAAAAATCATTGACTCCAAAAATTCCTTCATTTTTGGTCAAACATAGAAATAATGCTTTGTTAAGTGAAAATATGGTTTCTAAAAATACTTTTATAATAGAATAACTTTTAGACCATGTTTTGGGGCGTTACAAGAAGAGCCTATCTACTATACTCGTAGGGTAGCACCACAACCACAACCAAGAAGAGCTACTAACATTTGAGAAGTTATTGATGAGGAGTTTGAAGAAGTTGATGAAGATGATTATGGAGAAGAGACTGAATTTATTGGTGCTAGCAATGAGTTGGATCACTTGGATGATGGCGGCTTGGATTTGACGGATGAGGACTATGATTAAATATGTTTCTTTCTTTTCAAGTACTAAATTTTGTTTTTTGTTTTAACTTTTACCAATAACTCATGTTTTACTTTGATAATTATGTTTGATACAAAGTTAAGACTAAAAGTTTAGACTTAAACAATATATATATATATATATATATATATATATATTTATTTATTTATTTATTTATTTATATAATGTTTGTCATTTGACCGCTCGCCATGCTTCTCGCCATAAAAAAGAAGCTCTCGCCCGCCACTCGCCATTCGCCATTCACAACTATGGTTAAAATAGAAAAATAGTAAAACAAGGTTGGAGATACTCTAAGTATAGTCATATACTACTTTGGGTATTTAATACTCCCACCGTCCCAAAAAAATTACTTATTTACTATTACGATCTCTCGATAACTCATATTTGTTGCGTGTTTTCAATAATCATTTGAAAAAATAAAATATTTTTATCACATCTTATTTTATAGAGCATTCGATGTAGTTTTAATTATAAATTTTTTATTTTGTATTTCTTTACCAATTTATAAATAAAAAATATTAAAAGTCAATGAGTTTTGCACGTTGATCAAAATAGGTAATTTTTTCTGGGACGAAGGGAGTATATTTCATACATATAATATGTTGATTAAAATTAGAAAATATAGAATAAAAGAAAATTTATAACATATTAAATTATGAGCAAATTCTATAAATAGTTCTTTATAATATAAAGTTTGTTATATTTAGAACTTTATTATCAAATATTATCTTTGCAGTCCTTTTATTATAGGATATTTTTCCATAAATAGTCCTCCGTCTAGCATTATTCCATCACTCTGACATTAAGTTGAGGATACAAATGTAATTTCACAAAAATTGTTGCTCTAGTAGAGAGATTTGATGAGGGCAGCAAGTGAAGGGACTTTGTCGGAGAGAAATTGTCTTTGGAGAGCTCAAACACATTGAAGTGATACCGCCCCTCGAGAATCCGTTCTTCCACCACAGTACCTAGGTTCCGCCGCCACACCACCCGCTTCGTGACCTTCTCATTCACACACCTTCACACCTCGCCGCTGACAAACACACCACCTGTAACGCCTCGAAAATATTCCTATCAGAATTAATTAATTAATAATTAATTAATTACTGAGAAGGACCCAAAACTATGTGATTTATAAAGTTTGTCAATAAATAATGAAAATTATATCGTTATGTAGAGCTTAATTGTCTGATCCCAACGGTTCAATCGAATTTCAATTCGGATAAAGTTGACCAAAAAGTGTTTCCCAACTGGGACCAATTTAGTCCCAATCAGAGACTTACGTTTATAGCCCGTAGAAATCGCCACTCCCTCCACTGAGACGCCAAAACAGTAGCAAAGGAAGTCAACAACCATGTCTTCTTCCCATCATCCCTTCCTATATAAACCCTCAAATATTCACCAATCTTCACCATCCTTATTCCAAAAGAGAGAGCTGAGTGTGAAGAGCATTGTAGTGCTACCAATTTGGTGTGAAGTCGCCGGAGCTAGCCATAAACCTCGTCGGAAGTTTCGCCAAAAAATCTTCAGAACCTTCATTAAGCTTCGAGGTAAGCCCGTAGATATATCTCATGACTAGAATGTTCATATAGATCATTTTTACGTTCATAAATGATTATTTGGTTGAGTTTGTGTTTGACATGTTTGAAGAACTAAGAATCATAAACCTTGAATTTGATGTTAAAACTATGAATTAATGATACCAAAATGATCCATGAACCTTGGAGAACATTTCTATATAGTTTAATTGAAGTTTGGAAACCAAAAATGGAATTTTCGAAATTGGAGTCGCGAGGTAGAAGACGATGAACAGTGGCTGAAAATACATAGGGAGGATCGATCATCTCCCCTGGATCGATCCTCTGAATTAGTTTTTCTACGGAGGATCGATCCTCCAAGCGGGATCGATCCCGCGACCTGAATGCTCCGAAAATACTTCTGAAAATATAATTTTTGACCCCTAAAACCCTATTTTTGATACCAATTAATTATAAACAATATAATTATGATTTTGTACAATAAAAATGATGTTTTTGACACATAAAACCTTATGTGATGCATGACGGTAAGTTCGGTGTTAACACTCGAGACTAGGCCGCTAATTGTTATTAAATATTATGTTAAATGATCATTATGATGAATAGTTATTGTGGACAATTATGAATGATAAACCTACTGGTTAGAATGATTATTGATGATTAAATCATGATTAAAAATGGATATAATGGTGATCATGAAAATGATGATGATGATTATTAGAGATATCTAGAAAAACTCTAAGATATACCCACTTGTATATTGATCATGATTATTAAGGATATATAGAAAAACTATAAGATATACCTCCTTGACCAATTCATAATTCGGGGTTAAAACGTACGTACGGGATCCAGAACGGATATCACCCACCCGATAGATCACTGTTCGGTTGGTGCGTAATCCACATGACTCATAGGGTGGATTATCGATTCTTGTGTTTTGCATTAAACTATTTATAGTTTAAGAACCTGGTTAGAAATATTGCCTTAGACTAGGAATAGCTAAGAGCTGGTTATAAAATGATTTGGCCTTAGATTAAGAATAATTTAAGAGCATTGTCGAGATATTGAATATCAAATGACTTAGAATAAAATATTGAGAATATCATGTGATGGTCGTAAACCACCGAGAATAAAGAATAATATAAGTTTTAGAGAGAGAGAGAGAGTGTGCAAAGTAGGAGTTTATTCGTTCTAAACTTGGATCCATTACAATGAGGGGTCTCACCCCTTTTATAGGGGATACAATACACCTAGTCAAAGTTTCTCTGATCGAGGTTCGTCGCCTAGCGGACGTCATCCCTGTTATGCGTTGTCCCTTTCTTCCTGTCGCTGTCGCGCAGTCAACGTGGCCGGTCGCTATCTGGCGGTCGCTGTCACGGTCCCCAGCCGAGCTTACACTCCGAGCCGAGCCCACTTACCGAGCCGAGCTCATGGGCCGAGCAGAGAAGATTCCACATGGCTGACTGGGCCCGGATGACGTGTCTTTTGGAGTCGTCCTCCATCATCATGAATTTTTGAATCATATATTGTGTGCATGATATCAAATGGTTGATTATGAATTGATATTCAATTTATGTGGATGTTCGACGCTTTAGATATGCTTATTCATCTTCACCGCTGAGCGTGTAGTGTGTTTTATTTGCTACACGCAGGTAGACAGAATGAATGATTGGCTAAGTTCCTGGCAGCGGAAGGGGCGAGACAGTTGTGGTGGATCATTGAATAAAATAAATAATTATGTTGTTATGAGACATGTTTAAAAGTTGCTTCAGCATTTTTATTAAACAGTCCATATTTCTTTGCTTTATTATATGAAATATTATTTATAATGAATAAAAATGTTTAAAGTATTTTAAATTATCACGATTACCAAATCAATACTTTAGTCCGAAAAGACCTACAGACCTGGACGGATTGGGGTGTAATACCACCACTCCCCACTGGTAAAATGAGACATTTGGCAATCATACCCCAGTTAGGAATTTGTACTGTGTAAATATTTCTCCCCTTGTCCCTAAATGATCGTCCCTTTTCAAAGAACGTGTTAAATCTCATCTCTTTTAAAATGATTTTATTTACCAATTTGTATATAAATATAAAGAAAAATTTACATATTTAATACGAGTACAATACATAAAAAAATTCTACAAAATAAGCGGTGACATGTCTTTTCTATTTTATTAAATAATTAATGAAAATACATACACAAACAAAAGTTATCGAGATTCTTAAATATCAAAATTCCTAAATAATATCAAAACCCCTATACCTTGTTTTTTTAAGATGATAATTTTAGATAAAGAATATGTACTCCCTTCATCCTTGAGTATTTGTCCACTTTTAACTTTTTTGGTCAAAATTGATACTAATACAGAAATAGTTTTAAAGAAATCACCCTACGTAGCACTCTAACTAATCTAATACTACGCCTTTAGCACTGCTTATTGTTTTTTTACCAAATTAGCTATTTGTGTTGTCAATCTCTTCCAATCATACCCTTTATGTTGTCAATCCCTTTTATCTATCCCACTATCAATTGTTTTAATTCCTCTTCCAACTCCTATATCAAATTCTGACTCACATAATGTATACTTTGTGGATAGGTTCATAGTACTCTTTTTTATCAAATTCTTTTCTTCAATCAATTAAATGTAGTTTTGAATAAGTATATATAATAAAAATACGATATATCAAAATTATATCATAAAAATATGGCAATTATAAATACTTCCTTCATCCCAAAATAGGGCTCTTATTCGATTTACGATGTTTGATTGAAGTTATTTTCAAATCAATATAAGTAAAAATTGGTGTATAAATAAAAAAATAGGAATTATATATTAAAAAACTGCATAAAAAATTCTGTAAACATGTAGTGACAATGGCACTTACATATAAAACTACCAATGTTATAAATTATTATTTGACTTTCATATTGTGCAAACTGTTTGTGGTTGATTTTATGACAATAGGGTTTTACCATGAAAGAGATCGTTATGAAATGTGTTACTCAATATGGTGGCTATAAATATTTTGGCAGTACGGATTGATCATGTTCTGCAAACACTTTCTGGCAGTGAATTTGTCTTCTATATATAATGTGGCAGACAAGAGTGAAAATATGGCAGTGTATAAAAGTTCGTGGCCCAAACAAATTTGTATGTACTTCATTAACTTCCATTAATAATTTGGAAGTGAAATTAGACATACATATAAAACTACCAATGTTATGAATTACGAAATGAGTTTCATATTGTGCAAAAGCCATGTGCTTTGTTCTATGACTATTGGGTTGGAACATTCAAGAGTTCGTTATGGAAACGTGATACTGAATAGGGGCTGATGTGAATAATCAACTTCTAGCTACACTTTTTGGAAATGTCCAATGACCATGTTTGCCTAGTGTGTTTTGGTCAAATGGGATTTATATCTAAAAATCCCAATGTAATAAATTATTCATTGAGTTCCATTGGAAGCGGATACAAAAAAATCACCAAAATGACTAGTGCTTGAATAACTTTAATAAACAAAGTATGAAGTGTAAGCTCAAAGATTTTTGGCAGTGTGGAATGCTTGTGATCTAGGTATATTTTTTGGCAGTGTGTTATGTCCTATGTTTTGGCCAGTGTGCTATGTTGCACAATTCTACGTAATGTTGCACTGTATGCTACTTACAAAGTCTTAAAATTTACAACATAATACCTTCCATTATCCATTTCTTTTTAGTACCACATAAATGAAATTGAACATATGTCTAATACTAACACCTTCTAACATTATACAAAATCAAAAAAGACCAAAAAAAGCCAAGCCCATGTTTGGCCAGTGTGTTTTGGTGTAATAGATTATTTATGAAATCAGTCATACATTTTTGGGCAGTGTGGAATTCATAAATGAAAACAGTCATATACATTTTTGGCAATGTGGAATTCATACATAAAAAGATCTATAAATTTTTTGGGCAATGTGGAATTCATACATGAAAATAGTCATACACTTTTTGACAGTGTAGAATTTATACATGAGATCACTGCCACATAAATCAAAGGACATTATACTACAACATGAAATTAAGGAACACAATAATACATTTACACACTCCCATAAGATATAACAACATATATCCATTCTACACTGCCACATTAAATACTCACATATAAAAAACTACACTGCACACAACACAATTACGAGTGAACAACCACACTGCCCAAAACAATCATATTTTTTGGCAGTGCATAATGAACATTTGCTATTTCATTAAAGGTCAAAATCGAAATCACATGTCTGAAACATATAGCACTGCTATTTAAAGTATTTTAGTGCTCTAAGAGTGCTATTTTGGTTTTTCTCCCATAGTTTTACTGCATTTATTATATCAACTATTTTTAAAATTTTATTTTATCTAATTAATATACAATATATATTTCCTTTAATTATAGGTCAAAGGTTTAAAACAGTTGACTGAAAAAATCAAAATTAGACAAACACTCATGGGCGGAGGTAGCATTTGTTTTTACATAAAAAATAATCAATGAGCATTTTTGTTTGGACTATATAAATTTGTAAAATAGCTACATAATACAAACATGACTTTAATTCTATGAATATGGCCATAATCCTTGAATCTAAGTGATGGTGTAAATTACTTGACCGGTCAAACTATTCTAGACCGGGTCTAGAGTAGTTTGTTCGATTTGGCAAAGTAAAAAAGGTAAAAACACGCAGATTGACCGGTAGGACTTTAGGTGGAACACCTGTAGCCCAATTTATATTATAACGGGGAATGCACGGGTGCTTTTACAAGGGAGTTTTAGAGAGAATGAATTCGGATCCCTACTTCTGAGAGTTACACCCGTATTTATACTAGGTTTGGGGGGACAGGACCACGTGCGCCCACGTGGAGGCACGTGTCTCGGATGTTGAGAGGTGATGGGCCTCGTCTCTTAGCTACCTTGTCACCTTGTGAGGGGAATTATTCCCTTTGTCAGGTAGTGCCTTGGATGGATTCCTCAAGCATCTCCAGCAATCCTTACTGACACGGGTCGCTACTGTCCAAACCCTTTTAGATTCCCTCTTGCCGACGCTTTCTAACCTCAGAAACTACACCGGGTAATTTCTGAGGGATGAGTTTATCGTACTTAGGGAATGAATGGAGTGATAAGTAGTTTGTCCGGTATACTTTTTCCCGAAGTACACCGGTCAAATTCGGACCGATAAAATACCTACTTGCTGACGATTAAAGTCTCCCTTTCCAGAATTTTCAAGATTGACCGGTCAACTATCTGGTCTCTTCCTTTGACCGGTCATGGGTGGAATACACCCATCAATAAGCATCAACCCCAGCTCTTAATCTTATAAACACACATTGCGCTTGTTTATTTTAGAGAGTATAATCTGTGTTCTTCACAGGTCAATGATTGATCTTTTTTCTTTATCATAGGTCAAAAGGTGTTGAATATTTTTTTGTGTTTTTAGATACATCTTTCACTCATTGTAATGGTCAATGCAAGTATAACCGTATAAATTCTTGTGTTAACGGTTAATGATAGCCAATTCAAGAAATCCATGGGTAAAATGTTCAAGGATAGACTTTCAAATCCTTGGAGAAAATGGAAGAAGATAGCCTTCAAATCTTTGTTGTAAATGATTCGAGATAGCCGTTGTGAAATCTCGGTTAAATCCTTTTGACACTTAATGAATTTGGAAATCCATAAGGAGGAGCCTTAAGGTATGAGAATAGGAAGTTCCCAAACCAGTATAAATCAGTGTATCTTTATTTTACGTTTTAAACTCTACGTTTTATTCATTATTGCTTATGCGCTTTCTAATCACTGACTTTACTAAACTCCGAATAGTTTTTAAACGTCTTACTCACTCCTCCCTCTCAGGCGTGGGCACATTGACTAACAACATTAAGTTTGCACATTAAAAACACAATGGAGACAATTTTAAATCACAAATTCAAAGTCAAAATTGATTTGAATTAATTGGGGCACTTTGATACTTCCCTCCGTCAAAAAATTTCTTTCCAGGTTTAACTTGACATGGAAACTAAGGAAAGTCAAAAACTATAAAAAAAATTCATGTATTGTCTTTGATGTGATGGGAAAAAAAGTAAATAGTATAGATAAAAAGTATGAGTATAATGTCACATTCATTAATTGTTTTTTGTCAGAATAAGAACATGAAGAAATTTTTAAACCGTCCAAAATGGAAAGTGAGAAAAAGATTAAAGAGGGAGGGAATACAATTTTAAAGCGCAAATCTAGAAAACTCAAAATTGATCTTGAATTAATCGATACATGTTCTTTTTGAGATTGTCTCAATTTTGTAAAATAGTATTTTAATTTCATTATAAAATAAAGAATATGTGATCTACATTTTTTTTCTTTCATCCAAGCAAATTTAAACTATATTTTTTTAATTGGGAGTAATTTTTTAAACCACGTAAAGTCAAACTATCTAGCCAAAATTTTAACGAGTTGAGTACTCCGTTCGTCCCCATTTGAGTTACTTATTCAATTTTAATTTCACATGCACTTTAACAACTTTCATTATCTATTTTTGATACTTGATCATTTGATAAAATAATATAGTCATGTCACCACTTGTTTTATATAATTTTAGATATAAGTTTAAATATACAAGTTTTATGTTTAAATATTTCTAACAAGTTACATACTTGTAAAATGAATTGAGAAACAGATTTAGTTTAAGGAAAATGCTAGGGGTACAACAAAAGTGTACCCCAAACATCCCCCACCCCCTCCATCACCACACAAAAAAGGCAAGAAATTTTCAAAAAAAAATTAAAATTAAAAACAAAATAAAATGAATGGTTAGTAGGAGGGTGGTGTACATTTGGGGTACACTTTTTGGTGTACCCCTAGCATATCCCTTAGTTTAATCAAATTTTGTAGAAAAGTGCTAGGGGTACACCATTTGGTGTACCCAATTTGTCCCCCACCCTCTCCATAACCACACAAAAAGTCAAGAGACTAAAAAAAATTAAATAAATAAAAATAAAATAAAATTTAGTGGTGGAGAAAGGGGTGGGGGACAAATGGAGTACACCAAATGGTAAGAAAAATGCTAGGGGTACACCAATGTACCCCATTTGTCCCCCACCCCCTCCATTACCACAAAAATAGGCAAGAATTTTAAAAAAATTAAATAAATAAAAAATAGATAAAAATGGGTGGTGGAGAAGGGGTTGGAGGACAAATGGGGTACACCTTTGGTGTACCATTAGCATTGCTCATTTTGTAAGGGTTGTTAAAAGTTCAAACCTCCAGCCCTAACATTTCACATTGGATATTTGTACCCCAAGTTTTTGTATCCCATTTTGTACCCTGCAGATTTGTACCCACATTTTGTGTTGGCGTAAAATTAATTTTTGTTAATGCATCAATACTTTGTGTCCATGTAAATTTTTGTTAATGCATCAACACTTTTGTCAGTGTAAACTATCAAAATGTTTGTGTATAACTGTGGTGTATAAATGATGTACATTTTTGTGTGTAAGTGTAGCATGGTTGTTTCACATTTTGTTAGTGTTAGATAGGCGGACCAGGTCAAATGACCACACTTGGGAGCACGCACATGCATGCACGTTGCGAGGCAGCTACGACACGTGTTCATTCATGCAAGCGTCTGCGGCATACGACGCCGTTTTCTCACCTTCCCCACTATCTAAGTATCTAGTCTAATAGACTATAGTCCCCCGTCCCAAATTATTTGTCACATTTCTATTACCGAGCCAAAAAGCATGTGAATATTTAGGGACCGAGAGAGTATATAATAATCAATTATATACTCTCTCGGTCCCAAATTATTTGTCACATTTGTATAGGACCCGAATAATCAATTAGTACGAGTGAAATGGAAGTTCCCGGCGAAGGAACCCACAGCGGCACCGCCATCCTGGAAACCGCCACCGCCGCCGTCCAGAGCTTCGCCCCTATTAACAAGATCCACCACCACCTCTGCGCGTCAGTACTCTTCTCTCCCTCATTGGGGACTTTCCTTTTTCGGTATTTCCCTTATAAAAATGCAGAATTTAAAACAAAAAATATTTGAAGTGTATAATACTCCGTACTATGTAGACAGTAAAAAAAACTGATTAATAATGCATAGTACTAATAATAATAAGAATAAAAACAACAACAACATTAATAATGCTCCTAGTTGTTGTAGGAAATATGTGATGGTGAAATAAATGTCGTTCTTTGATAAATTTGTGTGCTTTAATATATATTTCCGATATTATTGTGAGGTTGAATGTTCATAACAAACTGGTATCAGAGACAAGGTTTTTCGATCAACACGAACGCAAATTGTGAGATTGAAGCCGTTGGATTTTTTTTCAAGATCAAGAAGAACGCAAATTGGCCGTTGCCTGATATTCTTCGAATGGAAGTCTGAAGCTAGCTAGCATAAGAGTAATTTAATGGAATATTTACCTAAATAGGACTAAAACATAATGACTTTCTCAATATAGGAATTTTAGTCATTATTTCTCCCACAAAACATTATAAAGTCCTATTTAGGGAATAAAAAAGTTATAAGTCCTACATTAGGAAATGACTTAAAGTTTTAGTCCTATTTAGTGCAAATTTCACTAATTTAAATTGAAGTTGTGCCCTTCTTCGATCCTGCGTAGAGAAGATATGAAGCCGTTGTTGTGGGGATCTAAAGGAGCGTACAACAGCAATTGGATCTGTGGCAGAGGGGACACACGATAACTGCACAACTTAGGGTTTTGTAATTCGCCTGAAGGAATAGCTTCACTTAGCTTTGTGGAAGATCAAGATATAGGTTTCGCTCAAACCGTAAAGCATAGGGGCACGTTTGACCGTGGACAGAGGAGGCGTGGATGCTGCATCAATGGAGTAACAATCGATGGAAGAGGGCACACACACAACATGTTGTGCTTGTCACACGACTTGATCATGGAGGTACTAGGGGAAACAAAGGTCGTCGCTTTGTGGATCATGTTAGAAAGTTTTTACATGACAAAGAGTCTTACTATCATGATGATTCTAAAGCAAAAATTGTAAACCCTATAGTTGACGAAATGAACGATCCTCACAGACCAACGCGTACCTTGACAAATTTAACAGGATTTTGCTGAATTTGTACAATACAACATGGAAGAAAAGGTGAATGATGAGGATGTACATTACAATTCTCATATTAATCTCATTGCCACCTTCTGACAAGAACTCTTTACAATACTTTATCCTTTATAAGGATAGTATATCTCTAGAAGAAGTGTGGTCAACTGTGCTCTAACACCCCAACCTGCATAACCTGAATACTTGAATTAGCGAACTCGTGGCTACAATCCTATGAGCGGATGCTTACAACCAGGGTGGGGGCCGGGGTTTTACAAATGATATCAGAGTAACCCTACGATCGTGACGGGCCAACGAGCCTAGTTCACCTAACGAGGAAGATCTAGGGGTTTGAAAAAAAGGATGCAACTAGGAAGTTTCATTCCTAATTGGGGGTGAATGTAATAATCTGATTTGAAAATAAATAGATTTGGAAAGGAAAAGGCTCAAAAGGATTGATAGTACTACTCATATCAACAAGGTGCATCTTCTTTTCGAGAGCTCATCACCTAGAAACTCCAAAGTTAAACGTGCTTGACTTGGAGCAATTTTAAGATGGGTGACCCCCTGGAAAGTTCCTTGGGCGGTCACAAGTGAGAACAAACTGTGGGGGGAAGACTTGTGTTCGTTTGTGGGGCCAGTCTACAATCTTATGAGCCGGCGCTTATAGCCAGGGTGGGGGCTGGGGTGATACAGGCCCTGTACATACTAAAGCAATCTCTGAGGTACTGGTACAGGAGGTTCGATATCTTAATGCTGAAATTTGCCTATCAGAAGTGTGAGTATGATTCTTGTGTGTACCATAGGAAGTTGCATGAATGATCACATATTTCCCTAATTCTATATGTGGATGATATTATTTGCAACTCAAAATATCAAGGACATTAGAGAATTGAAGAGGTCACTCAACATGGCTTTTGAGATGAATGATTTGGGGGGGCTGCTCAGAAAATCCCCCTAAACCCTGTGATAAACTCCCCAATCCAGATTGGCCTTAATATAGCTCTGACAATTGCACCTCCAAACTTTTTTTCCTGAGTTTGGGGCAAAATATCCATAATTTATTTAAAAAGACATGGAGTCAATATTGCGTTTTCCCGCCCAAAGAGTATGACCGTTACATATGGTAATGTGAAGTTAAAATGGTAAGTGTCCGAAAGCATAGTAATATAAAATTTATGTTTTATAATAAGTATAATTATTATATTATATTTATAATAATTAACTGTCATTTTTAAAGTGTCCGAAATTTGTACTAGCAATAAAGGTAAGTTATAAAAAATATTTATGCAATAGGAAAAAATTATTTATAAAAAATATTTATAAACTTTAATACACGCCAATCAATGCTATTAAAAACGTGTGTATGATTATTCTTACTATAATTATATAATTAAATGATTACCATGTGACTAGGTTATAAAAATGTACGTATAATTATAGTACAATATAATTATGGTAAGAATAATTATACACACAGTATCGAAAAAAATTAATACGAAAACCCTTTAAATATATATATTCATATTTAATTTAATAGCAATAAAGGTAATAACAAAAAAATGTAATAATTACTACTCCGTGCAATTATTACCTATATAAATGGTAAGTGTCCGATATTATAGTGTCCCTTTTTAAAATGTGCACGGAGTATGGCCATTACATATGGTAATTGTGAAATTAAATGGTAAGTGTCCAAAATTATATTAATATAATATGGTAATTGTGAAGTTAATATAATTATTATTTTTATAATCACGGTAAAAAATTAATATTTTTATAAGTGTCTAAAATTATGATATTAAGCACGCTATTAATGATATATAATTAATTACCGAGTCAAATTAATTATAGTAAATTTAATTAAAATTGTATTTTATGTGTGATTACTGTATCAAATTAATTATAGTAATTAAATGTTAGTTACCGTGTCAAATTAATTATAGTAATTTTAATTAAAATTGTATATTGCGCTATTAATGAAATCTAATATTACGTGTGACTACATAATTGTATATTAGTTACCGTGTCAAACTAATTATAGTAATTTTATAATGTCTATATTTTAATTATAGTGTCTATATTTTATAATGGCTATATTTTACTATATTTTAATTATAGTAATTTTAATCAAAAAAGTTAATAATTAACCAAGATATTAATTGTATGACCGTGTGACTAGATAATTGTATACTCCGTATTAATTACCGTGTCATGTTAATTACAGTAATTTTAATTATAATAATTTTAAATATAATAAATTAAATAATTTAAATACAGTAATAGTAATTTAAATTCGTTAAAGCACTTTGAAAAATGAATAATTGTTTTAACCCCGTATGCAAAAATCATATTATAAATACATCCATTTCCAAAGCTTTGATAGCCATTACATTTATCGTGAATTTTTTACTCTTACGTTTCAAAACTGTCATTCCTACGAAAATGGAGATCTTAACTGCTTTGTAAAATGTTGATGAGCGGTCATCAATGTTAATGATGAAGCTATGAGCAATTAGGGTTTATCACAGGTTTCCGTAACAATAACCCAACATGATTTAGTCATGGACAACTCCGTGTTGCAGTTTCAAGAGTAACTAATCGTCGTAGTGGGTTGAAGATTCTGATATGCAATGAAGATATTATTCCCACAAATTATATAGATAATGTAGTTTATAAAGAAGTCTTTCGAAATTTGTAAAGCAGTGATGTTTTGTACCTTAAAATAATATGATATCTATATTCTATTGCATCTCATTTTTTTATCATTGAAAACTGATTTGATTTTAATAACATAAAAATGACCCGTGCAACGCACGGGTGTGATACTAGTTTGACCCAAAAGTAGAAAAAATTTAGGGACTGAAATTGATGGTGGTACAAGGTTGCGTTAGGGTTGCGTCAAATTAGGGATAGAAACCATCATTTTTATCAAAACATCGTAAGGGTGTGCACAATTCAGTAAATTAGTCTAACCAAATCGAAACAAATATGTTTTTTTTAAGAGATTGGTTTTTGGTTCGGTTTCGCAAAATGAAATCAGTGTTTTGATATGTACCGAATATTGAATTTATGTTAACCTTAACAATATAATTCTACGAAACCTAACATAAATACACTAATTTTACCGATCCCAGTCCCCTAACCCTAGGGATTGATGTTTGGACTTTGAAGATTGCACGAGCGAGTAGTCGGGCTTCTCAAATTATTGATTTCTATGGGCCCATTGAGTGAGATAAAAAGATATCAGATTCTATATCCCTGATATCAAATTTCTAAAATTAGTGTTTGATAACCTAATAAAGGGGTTAGACTTAAAAATGGGGAGATATGAAAACACCTAAGATATACCGTGTCTTGAAATGGGCTCTCATGTACCAATATCACACACTAAAATCAGTGAAAATCAACATCCATCACTTCCCTGAACTATGCATGTCATCTTTTTCCTTTAGTTCAAAGTCCCTCGCGTATTGCAATCACCCTTCCTCGCTTTTAGTGTTTTGACTTTTCTTTAATTTATTTATCATTTATCTCCAAGCCCAGATTAAAAAATCCATATCATTTCTTCTCAATTTCAAAATTCTTATCTTATCAATTTTTTAAAACTCACCCAATACGCCGTAATATTCTCTCATTTTTTGCGAACCCTAGCGGTGACCGAGTGGGGCACGAACCTCGCCTCTTCGCCGAACACGAGCAGCAATGCCGCACATTAGTAAGAGAAGATGTTTGAAGCTTCTTTCCCATTTCTCAGCTGTTTATGACTTTTTTCAATTTTTGTCTAAGTGTTCATATATAGAAGGTCTCTTTCTAATGTTTTATCTTTGGATCTATTTTTATTTTATTAAATAAATAAAATGGTGTGTGCCACAATTGAATAAATACCAGTATTTGGTATCAATTTTTTTAAAAAAAATTTGATTTGGTTCATTTTGATTTTACCGAGTCAACACCTTTAGAGCATTGTGTGTGCCACAATTGAATTAATCTCATGATACGACATTGAAACTCAACGTTAAAAGATCTTTGTCAGAACAAAATTTGATACCATTACATAACAAACTTACATGCTATAGTTGGTGTATGTGTTCAGATTTCATTTTTACGGCGATGACATGACTCGGCAAGTGGAGGCACACCACTTCTGCAGCCACCAAAACGAGGAATTTCGACAATGTTTGATCTACGATAGCCCAGACGCAGGGGCACGCCTCATAGGGGTGGAATACATGGTCTCAGAGGAGATTTTTTTGACGCTCCCCGATGACGAAAAGCCGTTGTGGCATTCGCACGAGTACGAGGTGAAGAGCGGTGTGTTGTTCATGCCTGGCGTTCCTGGGCCAATTGAGCGCAAGGAAATGGAGAAGGTGTGCAAAACTTATGGCAAGACCTTCCACTTTTGGCAAGTGGATCGGGGTGATAATCTCCCCCTTGGAATCCCTCATATCATGATGTCACTTACTCGAGATGGTCAGCTCTATGATAACCTTGCTCAAGGTAATTAATTCTTTTTTCATTTCCCAAAAATTTAATTATTTCAATTTTTACATCATACTCCATCCGTCCCAAAAAGTCTTTCCTGTTTCATTTTTTGCACATCTCATAAAACACTTCTATCCCGCCTTGAATGCCAAAAAAACTTTCAAAATAACTTCTACCCACAATAAAGAAGAAATGATGTAAATTTTAGGCATTTTAGATGTCGGTAGAAGTGTTTTATAGGATGCGCAAAAAATGAAACAGAAATAACTTTTTGAGACGGAGGGAGTAGATTTTATTCTATAATAGCATGAATAAGTTTATAATCTTTGGGATATCTATATTAAAACTTCATAGAGTAAATTTTATATTTGATCCTTTATAAAAATAATTCACCATATTTAGTCATCTATTATCAAATATAATGTATGTAGTTCTTCTTTTTTTTAGTAACTTTTCATATATATAATCATTTTTTGATTTCTGTCATACTGATGTTAAATTGATAGCTAAAAGTGTAAATTCATATAGACTCATGTCGGCTTGACATGCAACACAAAAATAATGACTTGACTATGACTGTGGACTAAGACTCCGGCTAGATACGATATCTGTAGACTATGTTGTGGTAGACAGCGATTCAAGTAGACAAATGATATATCTGCAGTGACTGACCTCTGACATTGGCTATGATATATGGTCATTTTGAAATTAGAGTTTTAATCTTAGATTTAACACCAACATGATAGGAGGATAAAAATGAGTATTTATGAAAAAAATATCCATAAAAGAAGGACCAAACGCATAATATTTAATATTAGAGGTCTAAATATAGAAAATCTCTTTTATAAAGAATCAATTATAGAATTTTACCCAACTACGTAATAGATCTTATGAAAATGTATATGTTATGTAAAATAATAATAAGCGATATACTCCCTCTAGCCTAAATTATCTTCATGTTCTTTTAGGACGTTAAAAAAAAACTTCATGTTCATCTTTTAGAAATACTTTTGTAGCTTACAATCTTTCTCTTTTCTTAACATCATTTTCAACAACTCAATTTTAGTTTTCTTAAAGTTTGTGCTAAATCCAATCAAGAGCAAAAATTTGTGACAAAGGGAGTATTTGAATGCATGAATTTTGATCAAGGGGTTACAATATGAAGAGATTAGAGGTAACCTTAGTTAACCTTATGGGCCCGTGGGCTTGATTATACTAATTACCCTAAACATGATAAAGTATATTTATATTAAATATAATACTCTCTTCGTCTAAAAATTATTTTCCTGTTTACAATTCGTATGGTTAAACTTTATTCACTTTAATGTTCTGTTTTTGTTGTTCGTTTGATAAAATATAATCATGTCACCTATAGTTTTGTAGATTTTTGATGTAGTTTTGTAGATTTGGTAACCAAGCCATTTTACATTGTGATTACTTAACAATTGATTAAGAAAATGTCTGCCATCTAGGGGTACATGGTAGGTTACATGTGATATTCAAGAAAGTTTATTTCCAAAATATGTGTAGTAAACATTTTGTTTGCATGACATTTATTGAACTTAATACACATTTAGGTTTGGGACCTAATATCTATTAATCTATGCTAATGGTTCTATCGAAGAACCCAATTAGCTTTTTTGTTAAGAGGTGCGATTTTAGCTCTTAATTTTGAGTGTTCGTTTGTACCTCTAATGAAAAGTTTTACAAAACTAGAAGTGACAAGACTATATTGTTTTACGAAATGAGTAGTAAAAATAAGCAACCAAAGTGAGTTTAGTTTAATTTGACCTGTGAATAGTATCCAGAAAGATCTATAGCGGATGGAGAGAGTATGTTTAAGTGCAAAACTTGAATCTCTTTTGGAGAAAGATGACGGACACTAATAAACATTAGTAGTATATAATGGTGCAGATGTTGAGAAGCGTTTCAAAGTTTCATTTGCAAAGGAGAGGGAAAAGAGAGCGTACATGACCGGCCCCGAAAATGGGATACACCCGCTGGCTAATGGAGCGGGTAAAGGGATTCGAACGGTGCTTCAAGAGGTGGACTGCAAGCCCGTAGCCAACAGCGTTCCAAGAGTCTTTGTTTAACTCAAATTAAACTTCACCTTCCTATACATAACATGATTAAGGTAATGAATAATAAAGCCATGGGCTTAATGTATTTTGTGTGGTATTTTGTATTAATGGGTGTTAAATTAATGTTGTAACAAAGTGTGAGTGTGTACTCAAAAGAATAAAGTATGAGTGTGATATTGTTATTCTCACACCTTGATATCTTAATATCTATGTGTATGATTATAAACAAACTAGTTAAGCTTTGTGTTCTGAATGAACTAGTTCTCTAACTCGTGCGTTGCACGGACAATACTTTGAGTCAGTGAAAGAAAATAAAAAATAAATTTACAGCGTATATAAAGAAAACAGAACGAAATTGTATTCAATGTAAACATTAAAAGTATTATATAGTAATATTGAGGAATACATAGTGAAGACAAAAAAATGAAATCAAAGATTTTGAAAGACTTCTGTGTACATTATATTTCTAAATCAAGTTAAAATAAATGTTGAACAAAAATAGCGTACAATAACATAATCAATTAAAATGTCAAGTCAAACACAATTTGCTAGTCATATCCAATACTTTGTCATAGAGCAACGGCAGACGACGATCTTGCTTCTTTCATCTTTGCCGGTTGACGCAGGGCTCACACAAAGCTTGAGGATGAGAAGTGGTTTGAAAATAACCTTAGGAAAACGGTGTTTCTTTAATAAAAACAGATCTAAAGCATTCAACATTATTAAAGCCCCATCACACGCTTCTCAATGTAAAATCATATCATGCTTTTACTATTTCCATAAATTGTTACACTTTCTCATAAGTATTTATTTAAATTATTACACTTTCTCATAAACTTTTAATTTTTCCCATAAAGTTTTATACTTTTCCATAAAGTATTTATTTAAGTTACACTTTTCCATAAACTTTAACTCTTTCCCATAAACTTTTACTCTTTCCCATAAAGTATTTATTTAAGTTACACTTTTCCATAAATTTTTACTCTTTCTTAAAAACTTTATACTTCCCAAAAAGTAATGACGTCTTTACATTGGAAAACGTGAAAAGAACGGTGAGAAAGTAATGATTTCTTTACATTGGAATGCGTGAAAAGAATGGCCAAGCAATCAAATTTCATCTCCCAATAGGCGTGCCTCTTAAGTGCATTAAATGCATTGTACTTTTGGTTCGTGACTGAATAAATCTCTCTTTTAGCCTTTATTAAAGAATTAAAAACCCAACCGTAACACTCATTTCATGAATTGGACTCATTTTCTTCTTTACACGTTCATACTCGTAAATTAATATCCAACCCCTTACCCATGCTTTAGGCGGGAAAAAAGGATTGTTCATCTTTCCCCTTTACCTTTGTATGTTAAGAGATGATTGAATGAGCTTACCTTGCGAGTAAATTTGTTGTTTACAATAACTTGAAAATATGAACACCTTGGTTCTGAAATAAAATTGAAGAGAACACATAAGGCCACATATTTCATAAGAGCATAATTGTTCAACTTTAATGTCTAGGCGTAGTGCTATATGTTAGTCGAATTCCAAACATTAAAAAACCCATTCAAACATTTTGTAGTAGTTCAATTAACAAATTGTGTTACAAATTAGTTTCTTAAGAAACATTGGGGATGGAGATGTAGTAAGTTTGAAACAACAAAAACTCTAGAAAGAATTTTTTTTTAAATTAGATTGGATCCAATGGAGTTGATAGAATTCCTTCCACTGCTTACCCTCCCTCTTGTACAAAATAGCAAAGCATATGAGTCCATAGATCAAATGGGTCGGGCTAAAATGATGAAAGATCTAATATGCCATGATGTGAGGTACTACAAAATAGCAAAGCATATCAACACATTTAATTCAAACCAAAAAGAAAAAGTATTTTTGAACAAAAAGCAATCCATGATTCAATAGTTCAAGCAACATGAATTCACCGTTGGAATTTTAAGTATGCAATAATCATGTTCAAATTGTTCTGTAATTAGAAATAAATTGACACAATAAGATCTAGGAATTTTTTAATGTTGTAGAAAGATATTGTTCTTGCAACCAAAGAAGAAATGGGCGAACCGGAAAAATCACATAGGATTTGCATTTAAATTGCTCAAAGTAAATAGATTTGAGAAAATCATGTAAAAAAAATAGTTTATCTATGCAAGCAATAAAAAGAGAGAGATTAAACCACATTAAAAGATTGAATCCAATCGATTAGTTAGTTAAACTCAAGAGCTTATATACCAATAACTTTTCTATTCAACTTTCCGATGTGGGATAGACTCTAACAGCATACTTGATAAGTGGAAGGAATGGCATCAAATATACAGGCGAACTTTTTTGAAAGTAACACTCACTAATGGCAATACAATTGTAAACCCAAAGTGATGATAGGGGAATAATTAGATTTATAGTATATGAATTATGACCATCCAATTGAAATAAGGTGGAGTTCATACCTAACTAATTTCACAAAGAAGCTCATCCATGTCTAATTTGAATGGTTTGAAATCTATGGACAACAATACAACACAGCAAAATTAAAATAATGCANGGTTTACCGGGAGGATTAGGAGGGGTAGGAACCGTCAATTTTACGAACGGGGCACCGGAACGCCTTCGAGTCATCCCATGACATTGGGAACCTCCAATGTCATGGGAACCTTCCCCCCATCTTAAATTTAATTTCATGTTGTGTTTTATGGCTTTTGACTAAAAGTATTTTTAATTTTATTTATTTGAAAACTAGTGTTGAATTGAAAAATAATAATTTATGGTTTTTAAAATTACTTTAAAAGTGGCATGAAACTAGATGTGACGTGATTAAATTATTTTATTAAATGTGTAACGGAAATAGATTTTTAAAAATGGATATAGTTTGCTTTCTCTGAATATTGAACAATTAGTGTAAATAGGGACGGATGGTGTATATATATTTGTAAATCAAATAAAAAATTTGTCTGTAGTAGAAAGCAAATTTCACATTTGGGATATTATAAAGATAATAACTTACTATTCTTATCTATGGTAATACAAATTAATATGAAAGAGTGAATTATCAAAATAGTCTTTTCTAATATAGTATTTTTTTTAATTAGTCCTCAAAAAGTAATAAATACTTGTGTAATCTTTTATAATTTAGATTTATTCCTTAAATAGCCTTTTGTAAAAATGTCTACTAAACGTCAGTTAAATAGAAGATATTTTAGTATTTTTTATCATCTATACTTAAAATATTTTCTCAAAATGTTCCTTTATAATTATATATATTTTCCAAACTGATAATTTCTAAGTGGTTTCTAGAAATAAAGTCTATGAGCCGACTCGGGGTGGGTCCATTCCTGTAACAGTTAGTCACCCACTTAATTATATTTGAAAAGATAATTTTGGAGGCTTATTCATAATTTAGATTATGAAAAATATCAAAATATCTTCCACTTAACTATCATTTAGGGCTTGTTCTTTAGGACTGGAAAAAAAGAGCTGGATGTTGGAAGAAACTGGAAGGAACTGGAAAAAACTGAAAAAAATTAAAAAAACTGAAAAAATCAAAAAATCTAAAAAAAGTTTTTAAAAATTTTTTATGTGTGGTTTATATTATTCTCATTCTATTTCTTGTTGTTATAAATTACGGAGTATTAATGTTGTTGTTGTTGGTGGTGGTGGTGATAGTGGTGGTGTCATCACGTTATCTTAATAATTATTCTTAAGATATAAAAAAAATATTACGAATATTATTTTTCATATATAAAAAGCTAGTTTAAAAAAATTATTAGAATATAAAATTAGCATAAATATCAAAATGTTAAATACTTAAGAGTTATTATGGCTATGTTGTATTTATTATAAAATAATATATTTGTAATTATATTATATATATTACAAGATTTTGTTTTATATATTACAAGATTTTGTTTTAGATTAATATACAAAAAAAGGTATTATTCATATTAAAAAGTTGAATAAAATGTAATAATGAATGTGAATCATAAAAATAGTGAGATGAAAAAATGAAATAATTTATAAACTATAGTTATGAACATAAAAGTTGTAATAATAATATTAAATTTTTTTAGAGTGATTTGTCAGAAAGTGGAAAGAATTTGAAGAAAATAAATATAGTTGGAAGAAATTAGAAAGAACTGGAAAAAACAGGAAGGAACTGGAAGAAACTAAAAGTTAAGAGTTCAAACTTTAAAGAACAGACTCTTAATAGGTATTTTAACAGGATGACTATTTAGGGTATACATCTCAATTACAAAGGATTGTGTTGATAATTAGTTGCTTACTAATAATTAATTTGGAAAAACACCTTATTAGAAAGAACCATTTTGAAAATGGACTCAATATGAAAAATATACTTTTTCTCGTTTTCTTTTAGAAAAAAAGACCTGCACAAGCCTCGTTTGAAAAAGTTTTTTCGATTAGCATTTATAAACTTTAAAAATTTGAAAATTAATCTTTTTCAAAATGCTAAAATTAAACGTTAAAGTTATTCCTTAACCAAACCGTAGTAGAAAACATTTGTCTTCCTATTAAACAAAGTTTATTCGCATACTCATTATATTTTATATTTTTCAACACTTTTATTGAAATAATAGCAATAATAACAATGTTTATTCACATTCTCAATATATGGACCATTTAACTTCTTTACACTTAATGATAGAGCAATATTAGCAATAGAATTGTCTAGTGACAAGTACAAAGATCTTTGAATATCCAAGGCCAATTATAGAGCTTATTACCGGACAAGGCCCAAGTTAAGAATGCCCCATGCATTTGTGGGCCAGGACCTCTCTTGGGCCTTCATGAGCAGAACTCTGCCCCAAGAAACCCAACCTTCCCAAGACATCCTCTTATCCCATGGAGAGGCCCATTCCAGTATAAGGCCCAATCCTTTCCCTGCCTCTCTTGCGGCCTCTTCGAACCTCCCCAAGCTCAAACAAATCTGGGCCAAAACTAAGTGGGCCTCCCCCACAAATGGGTTCTTCTGGATGCTCTTCCTCAGCCTGTTCTCGGCCCATTCGAACCCCTTCTTCGGCCCTTCGCACACTGCTTCCCAGTACAGATCCCGTGACAGTATCTGATCGCCGGCGTCGAGAATTTCAGTGCAGAAATTGAACACCGGCGGGATCACAAGCTCAATCTGCTCGTCTCTCTCCGGTTCGAGTAATTTGCCGGTTTCCCTTCTCCTCTGTTCGATGTAGATCTCTTCTTCCCGGACGACTAGGTTGTAGATTGCGCCCATTCGAGATACTGAATTCACCCAGAGGCCGGGTTTCCCGTCCCCGGGCCATAATCCGGATAGGGCATCGTTGCCGGAGAATTCGAGCCGGCCGTCAAGGTTTTCGAATAGAACGTCCTGGAACCCGAACAGCTGGTCGCTGAAATCCGCCATGGTCATCAGCAGGAAAATCGCGACGATTCTTCTCGAAACGGCGACGTTTTCGCCCGTCTTGATGTGCTTGGCCACGATCCCGTCCGCCGGCAAGACCGATTGCAGTTTCCTCCTCCACGCCTCGCCGCCGTCGAACTCCCCCTTCTCCTTTGCGTTCCTCGCGGAGGCCTCGGAAGCCCTAAGGTGGTCCGCGATTTCCGCGTCGGAGTATTTGAAAAGGAGATCCTCGTGGATCAGGGGCTGACGGGGGACGACGCAGAAGAGATGAATGAGCCGCTCTGCCTCGTCTCCGACGTGGCGGCGGACGGTGTCGCGGCCGGTGGAAGGGTGGAAGATGGCGAGATTGACGTAAGAGTTGGAGTAGGCGGAGTGGAAGAGGCCGCAGAGGCAGACCGGATCTGGAGCCTTCCATAGCTTGAGTATCCGGTAGACGTCCACCAGATGTGAGAGGAAACTGCCGTGTTTATGCCAGCACTCCCCGGCCCCGACGGATCGGAGAACGGCAACCAGGGAGGGTAGCTTCTTATCGACGTTCTCCAGTTCGCCTCGGAGGAAAGGGCTGGCGGCGCTGAGCACGGCGGCAAGGTAATCACCGTTCTCCGACGATGGAGAGCCCGACGACGACATGTTCGGCTAAGATAAAATCGGCAACTTGCTGCAAATTATAAAAGTGCATTTATCTATGTGAAGAAGAGATTCATATGATGACGACTATTTGGATGTTATCCATTTGTCCCATTTGCAATTAGACTATTAGGTGTGGCCCCCAATCGACTTGACTTGACGGCCACATTACCTTCCCCAGCCACCTGCGCGCCTAACCTCCGGCCATGATTGTGAGGGGTTTAATTTTAGGCTGTTCTTTAGAATAATTGTCTCGTGTCCGGTGGCATAATGTGCTATTACCAATAATAGAATTCATATACTGTCGCTGCCGAGATTCAATCCTAAGATCAATAGGTTTGACATCTCTTTCATGAACCAGCTGAGCTACCCATGCGGGCCACCAACCAACTAAGATCTGAGGGGAGAGGGGTGTGTGGATGGAGGTTGTTCCCGAAGTATGAAAAAAAGTAGAACGCGCACCCAGTATGCCCCACACCCCGGCCTGACAAGAATGTGAGAAGGTAAATCATAGTATAATTTTAATCTGGTCCTTAGAGGTCACTTCGTGCTCGATGCACACAAGGAGCTATTACAAATAATAGAATTCCCACAGTGCCGCTGCCAGGATTCGACATTAGTACTAATATGCTTGATCTCCTCTCCTTGGACCAATTGAGCTACCCAACTCCTGAGCAAGCATTCCCGAAGCATTGAAGAACAGAAAGGGGGAGAAGAACAGTGAGACGTGGAAGAAGAAGCAATCAGGGTAATGGGGGCCGGGTCTTCCCAACAAAGACGTCGAACGTCGATTGGAAGGGACAGTATTCTTGATTGACACTAATGCCAAATCTTCTGTGGATGCCTTCCCAATTATCACACCCAATAGCCTTAGAGAAATGCTTGAGTCACAATTACAAGAGTTACAAAAAACAAATTCTTAGATTGACTTAAGATGCATAGTGTTCATTGTGGATCTTCAAATTTTGTAAATACTCCCTCTATTCAATATTAACTACACATTAATGAATGAATAAAAGAAATAAAATATGTCTATATTTATTTGTTTATTTATCTAATATATCAAGAAAGTCATAATAAATAGTTAATATATGGAATGGAGGGAGTAAGTATTTCTTAAGTATTTAGATAAACATTTTTGTTAAATATATAAAATATATTTAATATTATTGTATTATTATTGTTACCATATTTGTATAAGCTTCCTATTATGTCACTCCTACCTTTTTTTTCTCCTACCTTATTTAGGATTGAAACTCTTTGTGTGTGTGTGTGTGTGTGTGTGTGTGTGTGTGTGTATAGACACACACACATGTACTCTTTACACAATTTAATTAATGAAAATAATTCTTTTTCATGGTATGAGAGCCTAACCAAAAACATTGTCTTCTTTCCCTGTTTTCGGCCCTCCCTCTCATCGAAACCTCCGCTGATCGTCCCCCGGTCCTCTCAGTTTTCCCTCTCCTTCGCCGACCGATGCACCATCATCTCTCCCTCAAGATGAACGACAGTGAGGTCACGTCTCAACCCTCCTCCTCAAAATCTCCTCACCTTGCTTTCACCACCATCTCTAATGTCAAATTACATGTCCATGTTCAACTCAGTTTCTCTCAACCAAATTACAAAAAATGGAGTCGTCTGTTTCTCCTCCTTGTTCGACGCTTCAATCTCCACGGTCATCTTACAGGCTCTATTGTCCCCACCTCTAATGAAGACGACGAATCGTTCCAACTTGATGCTCTTCTTCAAGGATGGATACTCTCTACCATCACTGATGAGGTCTCTGATCTGGTAATCTCCTCTGTCTCCAGTGCTTCTGCTCTCTAGAAGGTCATTCATGACTTGTTTCATGACAACAAACATGCCCGGGCCATGCAATTAGAACATGAATTCTGCACCACCATCAAGGGAAATACCCCCATGGCGACCTATTGCCAGCATCTCCAAAATCTGGCCGACTGGTTGGATGATGTCGATGCACTCGTGTCACAAAATCAACTCGTTCTTTAGATGCTGTGTGGGCTTCCGGCAGATCTTCAGGCTTAGACATCCTTTCTTCAATTTCACGATCCCATGCCGACGTTCCTCCAAATTTGATTCGCCTTGATGCTACTTGACAGGAAATGTACACCCTGGCCGACTCAGGCGGTACCGCACTAATTGCACCTCGGGCCAGCAACGCCCCTTCATTCGGAGGATCCGGCGAGCAGCAAGGCAGCGGCAACCCAAGCACTCGCGGATCTTCCCACGGCGGACAGCATGGCGCCATCAACTTTGGTGATGGATCCTCCGGACATTGTGGTGGCTATGGACATGGCCAAGGACGTGGCGGCAGAAATTGGGGATGAGGTCGTGGACGTCAAAACGGCTCGTGGCAACGACAATCTCATGACGGCACACACACGTGGAACTCACCTTACCCTAACCATAACCCGGGGTTGTTAAGTCCACAGCCCACAACCACACCCTACCCCTACCAAGCCCATGCATACTACACTACCACCCCAACCCCGAACCCATACACCTACCCCCTGGCTTCTACCCGTCACCCTACCCCCCCACCCATGCCGTGACATACCCCCCACCCCTAACGTAGGTCAGTACCCCCCCCCACCTATCCCTACCCGACGGCTCAAACAACCCCACCCACAGCCCTATCTTACCACTTCGACACAATGTCCCTTCGCGAGCCCACATGGTTTATGGATACCGGTGCCTCTTATCACATTGCTTCTGACCTAGGTATTCTTTCTCATTTCTCTTCTCAAACATTATATTCTCCACCTTACATTACTGTTGGTAATGGATTTAAGGTTCGCACTACGACTCTTGGCAGCAACACATTTCCCACTACCCCTCCCCTGTCCCTAAATAACATTTTAGTTTCTCCCCACATTACTCACAACCTTATCTCTATTCCCCAACTTACTCGTGATAATAACTGCACTGTTGAATTTGATGCTCATGGTTTTTCTGTGAAGGATCGTCAGACGGGAATCGTGATGCATCGATCCAATAATGTGGGACGCTGGGACCCCTCTACCCTGTAGGACAACCAGCACTCGCTCAAGCCAATGTTGCCCTTGTCGATCACCAGACCTGGCATTGGAACCTAGGCCACCCAAGCCAAGCCGTCCTCCGTGGCATCTCCTATCTTTCTCCTTTTTTAAAAAGTTATCAACATACTTTATGTCATGCGTGTCAATTGGGAAAGCATGTGCGCCTCCCATTTTCTTCCTCAAGTCGTGTTTCTACTTTCCCTTTTCAGCTTTTACATACAGACTTATGGCAATCTCCTGTTTCAAGTTTAACTGGTTTTAAGTTTTATATGCTCTTGTTAGATGATTTTTCTCATTACATGTGGGTATTTCTTTTAAGACATAAAAGTGATGCATTTCAACACTTAACTTCTTTTGTAGCATATCAAAAGCCTTACTAAAACATTACCATTTCTAATAAATTTGAACAATATATAATTAAATTCTTTATACTGATTACTTTTAAAGAAATATTTAATCTACAAATAAGTAGAATAAAATTCCCGTAAAAAAAGTAAACTCAAATTAAAAACCCAAATCCAAATCTTATGTTTCATCATCTGCAAAAGGTTTTTATGTTAAATTAATTAAACATAGATCACTATAAAAATATGAACCCAAAGGCCAAAACCCTTATATATTATTAAAAAGAAAAATTGAATGGAAAAGGCCACATGGCATAGAGGGATTGGCTATTTTCTATCTTTTTGTTCTTCTCCAGGGACTAGTTCTTCTCCTTTCTCTCTTTGGAATTTATCCCTCCTCCTACTCATCTGTCCAATGCAATGACTACTCCATGAGAGGTTGACTCAAAGAATCATATTTAAGATACAAGGGCTAAAAAATACAGTATGAAAGTTTCATCTAACGAATATTTAAACAAACAAAAACCTAACAATTGGGGATATGTGAGTCATTGTTGAGTTTGTTAAGAATTTGCAAGAAACCTCTAGTTTGGGCGGGGGGTAAACTACAAGAAGAGGAATGTGGCTCTTGGGAAACTCTTGTGGATTGTTAAGAATCTGCTTGCCCTTGGCTGCTGCGACTTCTACGGCTTTACAGTTTCAGGTCTTGGCCAAGCAAATCCTGGCTGGTGAGTGATGAAATTGAAGACATGCGGCCCCACAAAGAACACAAACCAGAAACATGGATATGCAAGCTGCATTAGTTTCAGAATGAAGGAACCCCAAAGGAACACATAAAAGATCAACTAAGAGAAAGAAAGTATTATACCCCCCGGGCTCCCGGAGTAATAATAGAAAAAAGTCATTAAAGATCACCTGGAGAAGCTTGGAGGGAGCTGTTGTAAGTTCGGCAGCGACATGGCTTCTGGTCTTTCTTCCATTTAGCGTGGCAAGTGATGGACTATTTGCTGAGGTCGTGTCCCAAAAACTACGTTTTTTAGAAGTGGGAGCTGCTGGAGAGACAAAACGATGACAGGGACTCTTCAACTCGTCCTTGTTTGGCTTTTTTGGTCGTAAGCTTGCCCTTGTGATCACCTTCTTTAGAACCCCTCCTTCTCCTACTCCCACTGCTGTTGGTTTTGAAATCTTCAGCGAAAGCTCATGGATAAAACTGTCTTTTTGCTTCATCTTAAATGCATGATCCTTCTTCATTCTCTCAATCTCAGCCTCCAGCGCCTTGACTGTTTTCCTCAGCTCCTTGACCGTTTCATCTGCAGCCCTTTTCTTCGAATCTGGGGTGAAGCAATTGCCACCACCCAAGAAAGAGGGCTTCATTTTTCTTTTCTCACTTGGCCAAGCAGGGGACAAAAGGTGAGAGGAAACTGTGGAAGGAGCAGGAGATGATGCATTTGCTGCCAAATTTTGTGCTTGAATGGCTAGCAGTTTTTGCTGCTGGCTAGCCAAGTGTGTACGGAGTTCGCGGTTCTCCTTTTGCAACTCCAGTACTAGCTTGGCCTGATCAGTTTCCGATTCAGGAATTTGAATTTCCTCGTGCACATCATAAGCCTGGTAAATTAATGAAGATCCACATGCATTTACTAGCATTAATCACACAACTGGATGAGAATGATGAGAGCGCGGTACAGACCTTTGTTCGGATTTGTTTGGCTCGATCAGCCCAATGGAGTGTGTTTTGGGTTTCACCAAACACAAGATTGCTTGGGCTGATGTTAGCAATCATGACAGTATTGCATGCTCCACCAAGGGAGTCCTTAAGCAATTGAGTAAGCTTAGAGTTTCGGTACGGGATGTGTTTTTTCCCTTCCACCAGTGCATTGATGCAGCTGCTGAGTGCTAGAAGTGACCTGTTTATGTTGGCTCCTTCAAGAGATCTCAGTGTTCTCTGGTCTGTGGCAAGTGCTCTTTCTGACCCAGCAAGATCAATCAATGATAGTTTTCCCACTCGGCTCACTATGTTACCTGAAGCATCATCTTTAGTGCAATACTCAACCACAACCTGAAGGAGACACCCCAATCAAGAAAGGGTAGAAATATTTTAAACAACCATGTTTTTTTAAAGAAAATAAACAACCATGTTGGTTTAAAATTTCCAATGACCTGCAGAATGGCATGAGAACGCGAAGATGTTTCATTGGCACGAGTTGGCTCTGTAGTTCTGTTACGATTTCCCTGCTGAAGCAATGCCATAACCTGTCGTCATTGATTAACAATGAAATCAGCCTTGTTTTTTATCAAAACACTAAAGATAAAGTAATGCTATTTCCCTTGAAAGAATTTGTATACCTCATCTGTGGAATATGCCCTATATTGTGTAAGCCCGGCAGCTACAATCCCCTGAAATACATTTTTTTAGAGCAAAAATTAAATAAATAAAAAGAGGGTTTTGTGTGAAAATGTTAGGACTGATAAATTAGGTATAGACAGACCTGTTTGTCTTCCCGAAGGACCAATGGCCTTCCGGGGGAAAGTAAGTCCCTTACAGTCTCATTGTAGACTTCCAGATAGGAGAGACGAACAACATGGTTTCCATCAAAACTCATTTGCCTTATCTTGGCAAACAGATCCTTGATTGCCAACACCATAACACCAGGGTTCCCAACTGTACCAAGCATTGTGTGTGTCTTTCCTGCTCCTGTTGCCCCATAGCAGAACACTGACCCATTCCTTCCCTGCAGCACTGCTTCTACAAGCTCTGCTGTTCTGAACTCAACACACACATGAAGAATTAATTCTGAACTTCCTTTTCTTGCAATTTTTTTACACTAATAACAAGGCTCAATCAAAATCTACTAGAAAAGAATGTAAAATTTGACCCAAAAGAATGCAGAACTACAATTATTCAAACTCACGTTGTGGAATAGACTTGTTGCTGAGAAGCAGATTCTGGGAAGGAGGCATCAAAGGTGAAATGTCTGCCACGGAGTCTTCGTAGCCTGAGATAATCGTTCTCCGTGGCGAATTCGGTGAGGTAAACATCCCTCCCATCGACAATCTTCACACAACTTCTAGCTCCGGCATCCCTTTCCTTCTTAGCCATTGGCCTTAGCCTCACAAAAGCAAGAATCCTAGTCCCTCCTCCTCCTCCTCCACCCCCACCGTTGTTCCTCACCTTCTCGGATTCTTGAACACTATTCTCCTTGTTATTAGCCCCTTTTCGTGGCAACAGATTCGGAGGAATAGCTGATGAGTTCCCAAGTGCAAGCTTCCTGGCCACATTACAACTCTTATTTTCCTTGCCCTCGTCGTCGAGCTCCAGCTGGGGATGATGAATCAATGGAGGGTGCAATGAATTCTCCCTCATCACATTCCCAAATGGTCTGTTGGGCTCTCTGCAATCTTTTTTTTCCCCACCATTTTTACCAGACCGGAGGAGATCGACGCTTGGGTGGGTGGTGAATCTCCGCTCCTCCTCCGGATCCAGAGATTGGTTCTTGAGCGCTTGCTTTTGGTGCTCGTAGAAGAGGGTCAGAGCTCCCAGCTTCTCTTTCAACCCATGGTGCCGGCCCCGCACGGCGATTTGGTCGCCGGTTTCTTGATTTCCCTGCCTGGTTCTGGGTTTCCGGTCATTCTGCGATTGGCTATTGATGGCCTGAGATCTTGTTGAAACCGTCATTTCTAGCAGCAGAGGCTGGAACCTATCCAGATATTATGCTCTCGCGCATTGTTCTTCGTGGAAGTGTGAAGAAATCTATGGTGAAAATCAAGAATCTTGACGGAAAATGATGATGATGGGCAGGTGAAGGACTAACAGAAGTAGTGGAGAAAGCTGTTACAGTTCAAGGCTATGAGAGCTGCACCAGAAAGGAGATCTGAAGCGTTCGTTGGCTGCTGGGCAGTTTTTGAATTTGAAGAGAGGCTTTAGTTAGGGGGGCTAGGAAAAAAAACTAGATTGGGCTTTAGTAAAACCCGAATTCGATTTTTATCAACTGTGTTGGGTGGGAGATAAATATGTTAAGCATTGGGTCTGTGCAAGTTTTAAATGCAGGCTCAATTCTTTGCCACTAATCTGTGCAAGTTTTAAATGCAGATTCAACTCTTTGCCACCAATCTGCAATCAAAATTTAATTTAACTTCTCTCATTGACCGTCCGACCGAATCTGAAAGAACCCTCGAGGATGAGGGTCATCCTTTATTTATTTATTCCTTTTCGGTGATCATTTCATAAAATAAAATATTTCTATCGCATCTTGTCTTATGTAAAAGAAATTATGTATTCTTGAATAATATAATTCATACTCCCTCCGTCCCCGTGTATTTGTCCACATTTGACTTTTGGAACTGTTCATCTAAGCACTTTGACTCATCAAATTCTCTCAATGTGTAAGCCTATATATAGTCATGTGTGATCTTGTTTGATTTGTCTTAACATATAGATTATTAATATATAATTTTTATAATCTTTTAATATACAAATTACAAGATAAAATGGATTAAAGAAGTGCATTGGATGTTGTGTAAAAATGAAAGTGGACAAATAGAGACAGAGGGAGTACTTTTTATTTCTCTATTAATTTATATACGGAGTATTATCTTGAAAGAGATGAACTTGTCCAAGTTATTCAAAAATAAACATTATGAGAGGAATGAGGGAGTATAATAAATAAAGTTAGGAAGAATTGAGAAAGGAAAAATTTATATGCACGAGATTGTAGAATCAAAAGTTTGGACGAAGTGAGAAAGGCCTATTTGAATTTTTAAATGTTTTATTGTAACGGTCATATTATTATGATCAAATGGTCAAACGTGCCTATACTTCTTTCTCTACATGACCAAATCTATGGAATCTTCATTTACGATTGATATAGTAATACTTTTGATTTTCTAAATTTAATTTTTCATTAGGCCTTTGGTATATATTATAAAAACAAAATATTTAAAAAAGTATGTTTCAAAATAATTCTATTGTAATCAAATTTATATAAAAAGACTAGTAATTTAACCCGTGCCACGCACGGGTTCGAACAAAATTTTTGTCGATCCATTAAATTTTCATCCATACAATATTTTGAAAGGATTTATAAAAATATATTTCTAATGCAATTCTTGACATTACAAACATAAAAACAAAGTAAAATAAATATATTTTAGCATTTAAAACTCGGTAATGAAAATTCTCAAACGGAGTATATACAATCGAAAGTTCGAAGAGTTGTGACTTCTTTCTTGCAATTCATGAGAAGTTCGGAGAGCAATGTGGGTGTCTGGGTGAGGCTTGTTCGTCCATATTGCATTTTAACCCGAGGCACGGGTTAAAATGCCAGCATGTTAATTTATCAAAATAAAAGAACTTTTAATCAAATATCTAAATTGCGAGAATGTTTCCTCAAAGTGGGTACCTAAGAGTTCGGTGCCTGAGATTATATTTTCTATCACGAACTTTAAGGATCCCGGAGTATATTTTAGATGATGTGGTACGTAAGAGTTCTTACAAAACAATCAAGGTTAACCCGTACTATATATCAAATAATGTGTAATCTAAGAGTTATTACCATAAAATCGAGGGTACCCAGAAGTAATTTTTGAAAAAAATCTTGCCCCTCCCCCACCACTCCGCCCCTGCCCCTTACTCCCAAACCCTACAAAATCAAGCTTTATAATAAAAAATTGATATTGATCGCGTATAAAAACAAAATATGTAGCGTTAAAATTTTGAATGATTTTAAGGCATTTTTATTTTTTATTCAAATTAAATATCAACAATAACTAATATAATGACATTCTTAACAAATAATGAAAGCAAAAAGTTTTTAGAAAATCATTTTATAAAAATACGATTTTATAAAAAAATAGGGTTTTAGAAAAAAATCTTGGGGCGGGGGGGAGAAATTAAAAAGAGTTGGAAGAAATTAGAAGGAATTGGAAAATTGGAAAGAGTGGGAAAAACGAGGACTTGAAAGAAATTGTAAGAAACTCAATGGAGATGAAAAAAACTAGAAATAGTAGGAACAAACTTGAAGGAGTTGGAAGAAATGAAAGTGGAAATAGTTAGATGAAACTATTGAAATATTGTAGAGGAAATAGTTAGATAACACCCTAATCCGTCCAGGTCTGCAGCCCCTTTCGAACTAAAGAATTAACTTGGTAATCGTAAAATTTAAATATTTTAAACACTTTTATTTATCACAATAATATTTTTCATATCATAAACAGTACGGAGTTTTCAATATTGCGGGAGCTTAACAAATCATAATCACAAACATAATTTATTTATGTTCTTTAATTCAAAACCATCACATCTATTCCGACAATCTCGCCTCCGTCTGCCTCCAGGATCACGTCACATCATTCTTTCTCGCCTTCGTCATTCATTATTCAACATTTATATTCATATTTAACGTTCATCAGTCATTCATAATATTCACTATATTCAATTCAATAATCATCATTCATTCATATTCAGTATTCAACATTTGACAAAATCCTTAAACTATTCTTAGTATAAGACTAATCTTTTTAATGTTTGTCTATCCTTAAACAGATTCTAGTGTAAATAATTAAACTATATTCCAGTATAAAGTATTTCTAAATAATCCTTAAGCTAGGCCTAGTTTAAGATAAAAGGGTTTTGAAAATCTTAAACTTACCTTCACTTAAGGCCAACCAGAAACCGATAGCGTAGTGTTCACTATTGGATGGGTGGTACCCCCAAACGAGTAGGTACTCAACTTTGGTTCTTGGATCCCGTACGTACGTTTTAACCCTAGCCACCGGGTATTATACCCGCAAGGCCTAATCAAATAGGTATATCTTAGAGGTCTTCTAGATACCTTTCAAAGTCAACATTACTATGGGTATATCTTAGAGTTATTCTAGATACCCTTAACAATACATATTATTTTCACAATCATCAATATATTAATTATGATTTAATCATTCATAATTATCATTTTTAATTAGAATATTCATCAAGGTTTAATCATCATAATCATCAATTAATAATCATTACCATAATCATCAATCAACATAATATTCAATAACAATTAGCGGCCTAGCTTCGGGTGTTAACACCCTAACTTACCGTCATGCATCACATAACATTTTTATTTTTTAAAAACATGACTTTTACTGTGAAAAATCATTTTTATAATGATCATAATCAATTGGTATCAAAAATAGGATTTTAGAGCTCAAAAATTGCATTTTTGGACAAATTTTCGGATCAGATTTTCGGGGGATCGATCCAGCCCTCTGGATCGATCCATATGTAGAGGAAATATTCCCAGGTGATCGATCCACCCATTTGGATTGATCCAGGTAGCCTGGTCTTTGGTTACTGTTCATCATCATCTTCATTCGGGTCCAATTTCGAAAATACCGTTTTTAGTTACTGAACTTCAACTAAATTATATAGAAATGTTCTCCAAGGTTTATAGATCATTTTGGTATCATTAATTCATAGTTTTAACAACAATTTCATGGTTTATGATTCTTGGTTCTTCAAGCATGTCAAACACAAAACTCAACCAAACGACCGTTTATGTACGTAGAAACGATCTATATGAACATTCTATTCACTAGATATATCTACGGACTTACCTCGAAGCTAAACGATGATTCGGCATTTGAACGGAAAAACTTCCAGCGACAATAACTCCTTGCTCTGGCGACTTCGACGGCAACCAACAACAACAGTCTATTCTCCTCACTCTTAGGATTCTTAAGAACTAAATTGCTGAAGGAATGGTGTAGTAAATGAGAAATGAGTTCTCCCTTATATAGGGAAGATGAAGAAGAAGGAAACAAACTGTTGCATAGGATTTTCGTAGGATTTGATTTTCAATCGGCTGAGTGGAGGAGGAGGCGTCGTTCCCTGATTGGGACCATTTTAGTTCCAATTGGGGTACACTTTTTGGTCCAACTTTCTCCGCATTGAAACTTGTTTGCAACGTTACGATCAGACAATCAGATTCTATTCACGACATATTTTTCATAATTATTTGTAATACTTTTTCTGACATCATATTTTTGGGTGTTTGACTTTGACAGAGTCAAAATTGATTCAGTTGACTTTTATTCAAAAAGATTCTCATATTTAATTCATATTAATTATTCTCATGATTTATTTTAATAAATCATTTTAAAGTTCACTTCATAAATGATTTCTTCATTTATTCTTGATTTGGGTCTGTACTCAGGTTCCCAATCAAGATTATACAAATAGTTTACATATTGGATTTATCTCTATGAGATTTATCCAGATTGTGATATTGGATATCAAAACATATTTCTTATTAGCCCAAAAACAATTTATTTTAATCAAAACAATTTGATTATTTTGAATAATTCCCTACTAATAATTCCAGGGTATGTTTTGGGGCGTTACAAGTTGGAAAAAATTAAACTGGAAATAGTTAGATGAAACTGTTGAAATATTAGAATAATAATATTGCTCATTGAATTATGAAGTACATGATAGAGTATTTATAGAAGAGGCTCCTAACACAACTAGGAATAGAGAATGAAGACTAAGTAAAATACAACATCTACCACAAATAGGAATATGAAGCTAATTAATAATCAAACACTACCATAACCAATATTACCAGAAGTAATATTAGTATTATTGTCTAACAGAAACGGTAAGAAGTTGGAAAATGTTAGAAATTAAAAATTAAAAATAAAATAAACAGAGTCTATGTTTAGTTTAAGGAATTTGGGAAGAAAAGAAAAAAATGTTTTCTCTCTAATTCTTTCAATAAAACTGGAGGAGTTTGGGGTTCTTCTTATATTTTTGTCATTTCATTCTACTTTTTTCTT